CCCCTTCTCCTCCTTGTCCCAGTCCCTTATCCTGCTAGTCCCCACACCCACAAGTCTACCTACTTTACTGTCTTTTTGATTATGTCAGGTATTTTGTCAAGGTAAAGTAACTAATACAATTAGTCTTTCACAGATGAGGAGACTGAGGACTGGAGAGATTGGGTATCTTAACCAAAATTAGGTAAGGGGGAAAAAAAAGCCAAAACCATGGCTGTCTTCAATTGTGGAACCATACTGAAAAATAGCTACTGCTAAATATCAGAAATAGCTCATCAGATACAACTGCAACTAAACTAAGTTTAAATATGTGTGTGTATATGTGTTATTTGGCCTGTTAAATTACTTATTGGGCCAGGCATGGTGGCATACACCTTTAATCCCAGCACTCAGGAGGCAGAGCTCTGCAAGATCAAGGCCAGCCTAGTCTACATAGCAAGTTCCAGGCCAGCTGGGGCTACAAGGAAACCCTGTCGGAAAAAGAAAAAAAAGAATCCTTATCGGTACAGTTCATTACTATACCTACTGCACCAACAACTGCACAACAATAAAAATCAAACTTAATGACTTTTTCTCCACTCTGATTAATTCCTAAACTAAGCTCTGACCTTATCAATCTATCAACGTTACTCTTCTACCTACCAGTAACACTGTAAACTCCTAAATTCAATTATTTTTCATTCTCACTCCTCTGAACCCTGTAACTGGCCAGACCAGAACTGACCTCCTGCCATTTAAATTTTTCTCTGTCTCAAACACCCAGGACAATATTCTCTCCCAACTCTTTTTGGCTGTTGTTCAGCAACTGAACTCTCTTTTCTGTACAGTCCATATATCCAGAGGTCTTTCCGCAAGTAATTAGCACTTTAAAAATGAAATGTACTAAACTGATTTGTTCCCAATGCATGTTTTCAAAAATTTTTGTGCATGGAGACTTTAAAGAACTTCTGATATTTTAATCTGAAATACTTCCTATTCTGTTACTTAGAGACACTGTCCTGTTTAGTGGCTCCATGTACCTGCTATACCCTGCCAGTTTCCAAAGCTGGACCATCTTCCTAGCTCTCTTCAGAGGTCCTTTATATTTGTAACAGCTCATTCAAGATCTCTACTAACATTCTACCTGAGGAAACTCAAATTAAGTAATATAGGTCCAAAATTAACTTCTCTCCCCCTATAAACACACATCTTTTGCCTCGTTTCACACTCTGTGCTAGTAAAGCATCCAATAACCCACCTTTCAGAAATTACCCTTCAGTGACTTGTCCCTTTCCCTAATCACCCCAAGCATTCATTATCTAAACCATATTTTCCAAGGGTAGCTCACGTAAATTTTACATATAAAGAGGCCAAACCTCAGAAAAGCTTAATTCTCTCGTTTCCATATTCCTAAGTAGCAGGACCATGGTGCCTTGATTTGAACCCAATTTGTCTGACACCAAAACACATCCCTTCCCATCTCAAAGGCTGCCTGTGTGCTTCAGCAAACGCCTCTCAAATCCAGCCTTTAGTTTCCACTATTACTGCCACAATTACTTGGTTTCTTCCTTAAACTACTACAAATAAACAGTAACAAAATCCTGTCAAATCTTTCCTTCTAAAAATCCAAATTTCTCCTCATTACCATGGAGTAAAGCTCATTCATCCATTCACAACCAGTCTCCAATATGGGACCTGGACAGACCTCCCTTCTGTCTGGCACCAGTTATACTGTATGCTTTCATTAGCTAGGAACAATTTCATCACGACCTATATCACCAAAAACTTTTGAAAAAAATCTTTCATCTGTTGTTCGAGATCAAGTTCAATCATTATCTTTTAAAGAGCTTCCAGACTCATTCACAGAGAATTAATGTAAGCCTCTCTGCATGGCTAATACCACTTTGCTCAGTTCACCTGAAAGATAGCACTTAATATTTGTCCCAGCCATAGAACTAAATATCCCAATTATATGACATTCATGTTTTTGTCCCCAAGCAAGTATCTGATTCACATTTTAAGTACTCACTACAATGAATTTTCCAAATTAAACTATTTTTCACACTTTGAAAGTGACAAAGAAAAACATGCAACTTGTCATTTTTTTAAAAAGTTTACTAAATTGATTTGTTTCTAATTCAGATTTTCAAAATACTTGTTCATTTAGATTTTAAAGAACCTTTAACATTTAAATTCAAAATACTTTATTAAGCTACAGACTCTTCAATGACCCTAAAACCAAACAAAATAGCATTCTAACCTGGACAATCTTCTAGCCCAAAGAATGGATTAAACAAACTATAATCCAATGATTATTTTATCAGGTTCTAGCAAATCCTCAACTTTTTCCTGATCATCTCCAAATCATCAGACCTTTCCCTTCACGAAGTCCACCTTGAATAATGTTGTCTTTGAAGAACTATAAAATACAGTTCTACAAATGAGGCATACCAAATTTAGAACTTAACCTTCGGGTTAAGTAAACAAAGAGGCAGAAGCTGTCATGTTGAACACAATAATCACGCTCTTCTTTTTGAATCATAAAATCTTAGAAACCAGAGGGAATACCAACATTCATTTAAATTACATGACCAGCAATCTTTTCTACACAATCCTTAACAGACACTTTTCAAACTGTGACTGAATACTCAACTCCTTTATATTCTAATTACTTTTAAAAAGTAAATCTTTTGTATTTTTTGGCAGATGGTTCAACATTACACACCTAATGTTTGAAAGCTTAGGGAGAGATACTCAATTTCAATTTCTCAACCACTGACAACATATGATCAAAATCTCAGGTGTCTTTCAAGATAAAAAGCATACCATGATCACTTCCAAACTCAAGCCAATTAAACACACCATTATGCCAAGTTAGGGAGGGAACTGGTCTGCTCTGCATATTAACAGAATCAACATAAAGAGTAAGATCTGTGCTTGATTCTCAGCTTAAGTTGCTAGAAGAAACAATCTCATTTCCCTTTGATGGGTCCAAATAGGTCACCTGCAGTCTGCATCATGCAGTCTTTGCTTACTTGAATTCCTTGAAGACTGGTCTGAAGCCTCTAAACATACCAAGGACCTTTCCCCTCCATAATTCTCCCTATAACACAAATGTCATTCATAGGTAGCATGGGTTTCGGCCAGAAATAGTATATAATATGGTATCAGAACTGGAGTTACAGATGGCTGTTAGCCACTATGTGGGTGCTGGGAATGGAACCCGAGTCCTCTCTGAGAGCAGCCAGTGCTCTTAACCGCTGAGCCATCTCTCCAGTCCCAGAAATTTTACTTTCAAACGTATTCAATCATTAAATATTTTTCCCTCTGAATCAGAGTTAAGCCCTTTATTTGCTGCACATCCCACCTCTACCAAAGAATTTAAAACACATACAACTATTTGAATACTATTTCAAATATCAAAATAACCAGAAACTTTTTTGGAACCAAAAAAAAATCTACAGGTAAAACTTTATGATCACTAATGTGAAGGTCGATGTTTCATCTCATATAAACTATTTTTAAGTTTCCCCAAATTTATGATCTTCATCATAAATCTATAGAGAAATCCACTATGACAGTTTCACATTTTCTGTGGAAGACTGCCATGTTTTACCTTCGTTGGTACTTAAGTTTTATTATCAGTGAACTTTTCTCAGGTACCTGTCTCCCACATTATTCTGTCTTCTTCTCCAAAGGAGCAATGGTTAAAAATTTAAAAAAAAAAAAAAAAAAAGTGAGTCTAATCCATTTCGTATTAGTTACTAAAAACCTCGGCTTTTGTAAATACTTCATAGTAGAAAAGATAGAGTTTAAATAGATTACCTATACATTCTATGTGATGCTTTTAAAAAAATTTTTTTAAATGTACAGCATACCAAATCCAGACCATTTAGACGAATTCCCTCCAGGGCTCAAATGTATTATGCAACCACCACCATTCCAGATGTTAATCCCTGTTTGTGATGCAGCGATTAAAAAAACAACAACAACAACAACAAGAAAACAATGGCAAGGGTATAATTCACCCAGAAGTCCCTCCTCTCCCAGTCCTAACACAGTGTTTTAATTTAGGTTTAGAAACGATGGCCTGAAGGGGAAGGGAGACCTGCAGCAGGTGGTTTAGCTTTGAATGTGCTCTAGATAAGCTGTATTTCAGCCTTCTTCCCCTAGCACAATAATCAGAGTCAAAGCGATCCAGACCCCTGGGCCACAACCACCCAGAGCTCAAGGCTCCCTCCCTCCCTCTCCAGCCGCACAGGCCTCCCGAAAATCTGCATAATGGGCCACTGAGAACCCGGGATCAGAACTGCAGTGACCCGAATCTAAAGGGAGACTCAATGCCCTACCTAGTCCGAAGCAGCCAGACCCCGGGAGGTGGTCAGAGCATCCTGGCCCGCCACCTGCTCGGCGGACGCGGAGTCACAAGCCCAAGTTCAACGTCTCCCCAACCCCGCTTTTCGGCGAACTCGGGCGGCGAGGAAAACGCCCAGGCTCCAGGTGCGGGCGCCGGAGTGGGCCGAGCGGCTGCCGAGCAGCGAAGCGGACTGCAGAGGACGCGGAATGAAGGGGAGGGCGGCATTCCCACACACAAAATGGAGGCCGGCGCACCTGGGGGCGCCACACGCCCCTCCGCCGCCACCGCCAGCCACACGCCCGCCCCGGGACTCAGCGAACGCGAGCCCGCGGAGGGCCGAGGCCCGGGGAGCCGGCGAGGCCACACGCGCAGCGCACTCACCTCAGACGCGCCGCGAGAGTCCGGGCCAAGAGGCGGAGCGCGAGAATGAATGAGCGGGCGGTCCCCGCTGCCGACCCCGGCCGCAGCCCGCCGTCGTCCCGGACGCCCGGCTCGTAGTCGTGGGTCGGCCTCAGCCCACCGTCCCTCCGCCGGCGTGACGCACTGGCGCCGCGTCGCGCCCACCGCGAATCCCCCCGCCCGCCGGCCTCGGGCACCCAGTCGCCCGAGCCGCCCGAGCCGCCCGAGCCGCCCCGCCTCAGGCCGGGCCCGCAGGTGCGCTCCTCACCGCCTGCATCAGGCCTCGCGACGCCCAGCTCGCAGGGACCGACTTAAAGAGTGACCTTGGCTTAGATACAGAAATAGCTGCGGGTAAGCCGCTGGGGCTCGGCGCCGAATTCCCGGGTTCTTTAAGGTCGACCTCCGCCGGCGGGCCCAGCCCTGCAGAGTTCAGCCGGGCCTGACCCGGCCTCTGGAAATTTCACCAGGGTGGGCGCGGCTTCCCGGCCCCGGGATAGGGGTGCAGAGCGAGCTTGGGGTGCAGGCCTCCGCCTAGCCATCGCCCGAACCCACCGCCACCCGGGAGCGTGCCAGGGAGAAAGGAAGCTACAGCCCTGACTTTATCTCTGCCTTCTTCGCCTATGTAACAGTCAAATACAGCAACTAACCCTGACCCCAAAGAGCCTGCTCCCCACTTTCTTCCCGTTCTCACTTCATCCCTCACTGGGCCCACGCCCTTTTGTTAATTACACACTGACTCAAGTAAGTGCACAAGCATTTAAAGACCATTTTTCTTTAAAATAATACATGCTTTAGTAGAAGGATGTTTAATAAATAGGCATAGTGATAGTATCTAATTTTAAGACTTCCTTTCCTACATAAATTCTGGAAAATAAATTCATCCAAGAGCCCTGACATGATTTGGCTCATCCAGGAAAACTTGAAATTACTCTTTTTAGTCCTGGGAAGTAATCACAACTAATATTTCACAAGTCCCTCACTGATAAGATCAATAACTTTCAAAGAATACTTTTTGATATAGACGACATTTCTCTTTACAAATTTGCTTTTCTACTCCAGTTGCACATAAGAATCAACTGCACATCTGTTGTACTAATTTGTAATATTTAATTACCAGAAATCTTGAATGATAAATATTTACTGGTTTTAGAGAAATTTAAAAATGAATTAGATTTAACCAAGCAGGACTTTTGAATGCTTGAGTTCCAGCTACAGCTAATCATGAATGAATGAAGTTATATAACTTTAAATTTACATTTCTGGAGCTGTTTCTAAGTAGGAATCCCCAGGGCAATCCCAAACAGTTGCCACTTTGGAAAGGTGCTTTTTTTTTTTTTTTTTCCTGCTAGAGTATCCCCTACCGGTGTTGAAGTAAGACTTAGATCTATCTTAACAAGCCAGTGCATCTTGCCCAATGCTTCAGATACTCGAGTAAGATTGGCTTTTAGGTTGTTTTATAAATCTGTAGGGGCACATGCCTGCGACACCTTCCTTCCAAATTCCTGGTCACTAATACTATAGGAATCAGAATTACATAAAAGAAAAGTTCCAATGATCAATTCCATGTAGATAAACCCTTCCCTCTTCACTTGGCAAGCCTCTTGCCTGCTGAGACCTAAAGCGCTCTCTCCCACAAGCCTGAAGGAGTGAAACCACTCTAATTTAGAAGAGCTGGGTTTGAGCACTTCCTGGTACAAATGACCCAGAAAAGAGACCATAGCTTTCATGGGGGAGGAGGAATTCCTTGTAGGCAAAACAACAGCCAGAGTGTTTCACTGCTGACAATTGCCAGGCACCCTGCTAAGTTCTTTGTGGAAATTAATCAATTTAATCCTCATAACCATCTTTCCATGTACATACTAATGTGACTTCCAGTTTACCTGAGAGGAAACGGAGGCATACAGAAAAATGGAGCAATGTGTTCATGGTTACATAGCTAATAACCCTGACCTTTTGTTCAAGAGTACATTACCTTAAGTAGAATTCTATACTGTCTTCACTATTTTTTAATGTCTATGAGTGTTTTGCCTACATGTATGTAAGTGCACCACATTCCTGCAATGTTCACAGAGGGTAGAAAAGGGGATTGGATCCCCTGGCACTGCAGTTACAAACAGCTGGTTCCCCAACCTTGGTCCTCTGCAAGAGCAGCCAGTGCTCTTAACTGCTGAGTCATCTCTCCAGACCCTCTACTGCCTGCATTTGATTGAATTTTGCCACCCTGTCCCTTCCTGTTTGAACAGATTTCTCATGTAGGAGCATTTTTTCTGGGCAAAAGAGAGAATGAAGCTTTTGTTAAAGATTTACTTGATGCAGAATCTGTTAATTCTTGAAAAAACCACATTTTTTTTTCACATCTTTTAGGGTTAATTACTCTCCAACATTTAGGGAGAGGTCTGTGGAATTGATGTTTACAATATGGACATAGAATGAACTGTGGACAAATAACTTTTACTTTTCTTCACCAAAAAGTTAATCTTCTCTTAGCTTATGACGTAGACAAGCTCACTGAGTCTTGGGCTCCTCTTGTGACCTGGGAATATAGCCTAAATCCTTCATGACTTCCTTACCTAGCCCAGGATACTATGTGTGTGTCTGTGTGTTTTACAAATCAATTAAGCAATTGCTGCAAACAACAGATATTTGGAAGCAAAAAAGAAAATCCCATTTGTGTGGCAAACAATGGATTAAATTGATAACATCTGTTTGTGGTTGTGTATAGGCTATCCAGGTTAGAAGGAACATAATCCTCTGATGAGAGTCTATTTTTATTTCCCTATTTCATGCTGGATATACTATTTCAATAAACTGAGAGGACAGTTCCCAGAGTGATCTGAAGGAAGAGGTGCTCAGAGCAGTTTGGGTTTCCTCTTAGCTAAAATGAATGCTAAGAGTCAGTCTGTTTTCACTCAGACATAGTCATAATGTGGCATTCATCTGCAGGGGTCTGGAAAACATTACATCTTATTTTCTTATTTTTATTTATTTCATGAATTGGGAAAAAATTCCCAAAATATTCATCACCATTTTTGACTAAGATGTAAAAAGGTAGGGTTGAGATCCATTATGTACATTTTAATACAGTAAAGTCACAGTGAGAAGGTTTTAATGGCCAGACAGGAAAGGACTCCTAGATCTCAACTTTGACCCATCTGTAGCTGACTAATCATAGCAGCAGTGACAACAGGGAAGTGAAAAGGCAAGCTTCCCTACTAGCAATGAAAGAAAAGTTCCCCTGTTCTCAAATGCTTCATCCTCCTCTACAAGAAAACACATTACAGAATGCTTTCAGCATTAAAAAAACCATATTTTGAGTGGGTTTACTTGGTTAACCACTACTGATATTTGCATATTTCAAATTTCTGAGTGAAACTATGATACTATGCACTAGAGGGGAAAAAAATAGAACCTGAAGAACAAGAAAAATAACAAGTTTGGGAAACCCAGCTACATTGTTTCTTTAGATTTGACTTAGTTTAATGAAGTAGAACTTTAAGAATACGAATCCTTGGTTAAATTAAGTTCAGATTTAAAAGAAATAAATCTGTGGTACTTTTAACATTAGTAATGAAGATTATAGATTTATAACCACAGTAGATACTGCAAGTTGCCCCATCAATATCCATTTCCCCCTTTTCCAGAAAACACTCAGTTTTGTTCTGGGTAATGCTGTGTGACTTTTCTTAGGGAGTGGTTAACAAACCATTTACCCCAGATAGGGCAGAAACAGCAGATCAAAGAAACCATTCCACCCAAGCCTAGCTTTGTAAATCAGTGAGCTCAATGAGGTGACTTACAGGAGTATGGGTGACTCAAAGGCTGCTCTATTACCAAAAACCCCATCCCAGCATGGGTGACAACTCTCAAGAGCTGCCTTCCCCATCTCCCAGCCCAACTTGCAGACAGCTCCACCCAAGAGGCTCCTCTCCCCAAGCAGTGTTAACTGCTTCTGTTACCTCTGGGAAGGCCCTGGTGAGCCTTATCACTCTTTCAAATTTCCAGGGCCTCAGGAGCCTCCCTTGGGGAGAGAATGTTTCAACTTCCTGAGGAAATAACTACACAAGAGGTATCAATACCCCTGCTGAAGCTGTTTTCCTCTTCTGGTTCCCCTTGCAGCTGGGATAGCTACATGATCATTTCAGGCAGTGAGATGTAAATAGAAGATTCTTAGGTCCGTTTAAGGAGCACACTCGACACATTTACCTTTGCCTTGCGTAGTTTTTCCTTTTCTCTGTCTGGGATGAGCACTGATGTCTGGGGCCAGCACTGATGTCCAGGGTCATGGCAGCCTTTTTATGACCATGAGAATGAAGTTCATCTACTGAGTATTCTGGAGGCCAGAGAGGGAACCTGGGACCATGACCATCTCAAGGAGCTGCTAAGCCAATCCCAAACTAACTACCTCTAGTTTTCTCTGTTTCGTGTCAACAAATGCAATCTACCTAATACTCAAAGTCAAAACTATGACTTCCCTATAGCTAGGAGGAAAAAAATCCTTATGTAGGCTGTGTTCTGTACTAGATATACACAGCATCCTTTGATTTTACTACTATATTGTGTGGTGTAGTTTGAAATGTCCCTCATAGGCTCACATGTTTGAACATTTGGTCCCCATTAGGTGGCATTGTTTTGGAAGGTTATGGACCCTTTAGGAAGTGAAGCCTCATGGAGTGGATCACTGGGTGCCGGACTTAATGTTTTATAAGAAGGCCCCATTTCCTGTTTACACTCTGCTCCCTGAGTGTGGATGCAGTGTGACCAGCCAGTCTCCGGTGACCATGCTTTCCTAGCCTGCGGCTAAGTCCTCCCTGCCATGATGAACTTTTGGAACTGTAAGCCAAAATAAGCCCTTCCTCCCTTAAGTTGTTTTTGTCAGGGTATTTTATCACAGTAACAGGCAAAAAAAAAAAAAAAACAAGACAACTAGGAACTCCCCTTTGCAGAAACTCAGGCTCTCCTTGCCGTCCCTCTAGTACTTAATGATGACACGTCATTCCAATTCCTGACTACAGAAAGAATACATTATTCATATAGTGCATTGACTGCATACATTCTAGATAGTACCTCAGCAAGCTCTCACTCTCTCCCCATCCTGCCCTCTGTCCTATAGGTGCTAGAGATCAAACCCAGGCACTGGGGTAAATTACCACCATGTTAACTACTTAAACAATAGAAAGAAAACTGTAATGGTGACTATAATAATTACTTTCGTCATTATAGTGACTAAATACCTAACAAAAGCAATTTAAGGGAAGATTCATTTTGGTTCACAGTTGGAGGATAAAGTCTGTTGTGGCAAAGTAGTCATGGCAGCAGGAGCTTGAGGTGGCAGGTCACACTGAATCCCCAGTCAGGAAACAAATACGGGTGCAATACTCACTTTCTTCTTTTTATTAAGTCTGGGACCTCAGCCCATAGAATCATAGAATGGTGCCACCCACAGGTTCCCATTTCAATTACCCTAATCTAGAAACTCCTGAAGAAATGTCCTGATGAAATCTCTTAGATGATTCTAAGGATTTTATTTATTTTAAATTCTGTATATATGTGGGGGAGGGAGGGTAGTGCACATGAGTACAAGACCTGCAGAAGACAGCATGTGATCCTATGAAGCTGGAGTTACAGGCTGCCCCACGTGGATGCTGGGAACTGAACTCTGCAG